CGAGCGCACAGTCCTCATGTTGTCCAGCGCCTGGTATGCCACGGCCCCCATGCGCTGCAACGCGCGGCCCTGGGCCTGCGGAAGTAGACGGGACGCGGTGCAGAGGGAGGTGCGGGCGGCTCGGCGGTGGGGGGCGCGAGGGGCCGCCGCAGGAGCCCGCCTAACGCAAGGGGAGGGGCTGAGGTTGAGCGTCCTCGGGCTCCATTGAAAGCTGCCCTGCACACAGGAATGACTCGCCCTGACGTGGACACACACGCACACACACACACACACAAACCCACACACAACCACACATCCATACTCACACACCCACACACAACCACACATCCACACCCGCACACACACATGCATCCGGGCCCCCACCACACTCACACACACACACATACACACACACGTGCGCACCTGCTCCACGGGCCGCGACTTCCTCCTGTAGTAACCCGCCGCCAGCGCCGTGACCACAATCACTATGGAACAGGCCGGCGCCAGGCGCCAGGACAGGCAGAAGAGCACCACGATGGCCCCCGCGGCCTCCAGGAACGCGCGCGGCCCGCGGTCACGGGAACAGTTGCTGTACAGGGGCGGGGGCGGGTGGGGTTGTGGTGAGGCCGAGCAAGCGCATGCAAGCGCGTCGCGTGCATGCAAGCCCACCGACGGCATGGCTGACGCATGCGTGGCTTAAGCACACCATACAAGCAGTGCGCATGTGAACACGCACACGCTCACACACGCTCGCAGCCAACTCCACCTCCATCCGCACTCCACGTCCGCTTCATGTGCGCAAGCGCCTCTAGCTGCTCGCAATGGGGCACAGGCACATTACGCCCACACCACCCATCCCAACAAACGTCCACGCCCACACCCAGTACCCGCAACCCCACCTGAACACGAAGCTGCGCATGGTGTCCAGCTCCACACTCAGCAGCCCCTGGAGCTCGCTGGCGCTGTGGCGGTCGAAGAACTCGATCTTCTGCATCAGGAGAGTCCTGAACAGCTCCAGCCGCAGCGTCGCCAGCACCTGCGGCGGCCGGCGCGCGGCGGGGCCGCTGCTCGGGGGCGCTCCGCGCGGCATACCGGGACGGGCACCAAAGGGGTGCGCCTGACTGTTGCATGGACGCCCTTGCTCCCAACGGTCTCCTTGGTGCTGCCCCTGCCAACCAATTCGCTCTGCAGACAAGCAGGTTCGTTGCCGCGGCCCAGCCGACGCCGCGCAGTGGGTGTTCTCAAGCCGTACCCCCAGGCACGAAGCGCCGCCGGCCGCGCCCTTGGGCCGGCTGCCACGGCTTCGCGGGCAGCTTCCGCCCACCTTCTCGCCCAGCGCGATGATGTTGACCATGTAAATCTTGGTCAGCAGGGGCTCCAGCACGTACCCCGCGAGAAGCACGCTGAAAACCTTCGGGGAGGCGCGTCGCGGGTTTGCGTTGCAACAGGTGAGAGAGCGCGTCGCTCGAATCCCTGCGCCGCCGCAGGGGCGCGCGTGCCCCCCGCAAAACAGGCGGCCAAGGCAGTTTTAGGATCGTATTGGCGCGCGAGGGCGCGTGCAGCTGCAGAGACGCTTTAGGAACCACGGGAATTGACCAGCAGTCTGCGCGCCGCGTGCGCCGCTCGCGATGCCGCATGGCAGTCAGTGTCGCATGCGCGCGCGACCAGGCCCCTCATACCGCTGGGGCCGCCGCCGCCCCTCCCCGCCCACCTTTGCATACCGCTCCATCGGCTGCTGCTGCACCAGCGTTTCGAACAGCAGCCCAGACAGAACCGGCGCGGCCAGGTTGCTGGCCGTGCAGAGCAGCACGCACACGGTGGCTAAGGCCAGATGGCGACGGTGCTGCAGTACGAGTCCGATGATGTACTCATTGTCCAGGGGGGCGCGGCGCGTGGGGGTGCTGCGAGAAGATGCGCCACAGGGAGGGGTGCCGGTGCGTTTGTGGGCAGACAGGCGTGGACAAGGGTTGCAACATGGGAGTTGGTCGGCTTGCGGCTCGAGTCGGAGCCTGTTCGGCAAGAAAGGCAGCCCAACCGCCCCAGGATATGCATGCGCTTCGCACGAGTCTGCTCCGGCGGCGAAATGCGGCGCTCACCCGTCGATCGACTCGCGCCTGACGAGGATGTGCTGCAACAGCGCCTCAACGGCGCCGGAGGGGCGCGGTTCCGCCGCTGCTGCCGCTGCTGCTGATGCCGTTGCTTGGCATGTGTGTTCACGAGGCCGCTGCGCTCTCCGCACGCCGTGTAGGCCGCGTCCGAGTGACCATGGCGCTAAACACTTGCTGTGTTTTTGTGCTGTCGCGCGGCCAAGCCGCGCGCTTCGACTGGCCTGCATCGCAACAGGTAACGTACTTACTACTACAATACAGCCACGCCAAGGAGCGCTGGCGCGAGAACAGCAGATTTCTTGATCCAAAGATCAGATCTGCGCGTTGCAGTGAGACACTTTGCTACGTATATAAGCACGCGGCGGCTCCTGGGAGCTTGAGTGGAACTGTGCCATGAATCCCTTTCAGCGTGAGAGGCACGCTGTGCTGTGAACGCTGCGGCCACGCTTGGCGGTGCAGTTTTGACTTGCCCAGGTCAGAAATCCCCCAGGCGCCGCCCTTATCATTTCCAGCAAGCTGAATCACCGCTCTACTTGACGAAACTGTTACATACGACGTGGCTGCAGCAACCTTCCAAAGGCTACAAGAATCCAGGCACTGGCGCCGTCGCACCCACTCTGCACAGCCACTCCGTCGCGCCGACCATCAGGCAGCGGGAGGGCGGCCCTCGAGCCGCCGCGGCGGCCCCGGGCCCTCACGCGCCGGCGCCGGCGCCCTCCCCGCGCCGCGCCTCAGCGCGGTTGAACTCCTGCTGCATCGCCCCCGCCAGGCCGGCCAGCGCCGCCTTGAGCGTGCTGTCGAACCCGGCCACCTGCCCCTCCAGCGCGCGGCGGTGCGAGACGGTGTCGTCGGCGGCGCGCTGGCGCTCCTGCTGCAGGCGCGACTGCAGCGCGGAGTGGTCGGACTGGATCTTGGAAAGCTGCTCCTGGAGGGACTGAGGGGGTGCAAAGGGTTCCAAGCCGCAGGCAAGGATTCGGGGTTGGGGGATGGGCCAGGTGTGAGAATTTTGAGGTGCCAGGGCCGTTTCTGGCTGATGAGCTAACCCCAGCGCGCCGCCACGCGAGCGGCGCCGCCTCGCCTGCTCCGCCGCCCATCCCTTCGTCGCCGGCGGCGCCATGGCAGACAGCGCGCGCCGCGCACCTGCGCCTGCGCCTCCTTGCCCGCCGCCGCCTCTTTCGATGCCGCCGCCTCGGCCCGGCTCGCGGCCAGCTGGCGCCCCAAGTCATCGCCGCGCGCCCGCGCTGACTCGGCCGCCGCCTTTTCAGAGTCCAGCTGCTGCTGCAGCGCGACGCGCTCCTGGTCACCCTTTGCCACCTGGTCCTGCAGCTGCGCGGCGGCTGCCTCTGCACGCGTCAGGGCCTCTGACAGCCTGCGGGCGGGAGGCGGCACAGCGCCGCCCTTGCAGCTCCGCTCTGGGTGGGCGGTGGTTGGCCCCAACCCCTGCGCGTCCAAGGCATCCCACCCAATCTGCTCGTCAACGCCTTCAGGCCTACAACTGCCCTCAGCCACAAAAACTGAGGCATTTTATTGACCCATTCCCAGCTGCAACTCACCACTCGCCGCTTCGCTGACCCACCCAATTGATCGGAATTGCAAAAGCAAACGAGCCCCACCTTCCCTCCCATGCACAGCCCCGCCCACCTGGCGACCCGCTCCTCCGCCGCCGCAGCCTTCGACCGCTGCTCCGCCAGCTCCGCCTGCGCCCGCCCCCGCTCCTCCGCCGCCGCCTCCGCGTCCCGCGCCGCCGCGTCCGCCGCCACGCGCGCGCCGCGCCTCGCGGCGTCCAGCTCGCCCTGCAGTCGCCCCGCCTCCTCCCCCTTCTCCTTCGCCCCCCGCCGCGCCTCCGCGAGCGCCGCCGCGACGCGCGCCGCCGCCTCGCGCTCCTCCCGCCTCTCGCCGTCCGCTGCCGCCGCCCTCTCCTCGGCGGCCATGCGCCGCTCACCCTCCCGCTGCAAATCCTGCAGCGCGCGCTCGGCGCGGCGCCGCTCCTGGTCGAGCGCGTCGGACGCGGCCGACAGCGACGCCTCGGCGCCGGCCGCGCGCTCGCGGGCGGCCGCCAGCTGGCGCTCCAGGTCATCCAGGCGGCCCTGCTGGAATGCAGTCGCGCGGCGCTCGGCCTCGAGGGCCTCCCTGAGAACGTCGTTGTCCTTCCTGAGGAGCGCCTCTAGGTAGCCGTCCGCGCGCCCCTGCTCGTACTCGGGCGACCGCGGCGGCGATGGCGGCGGCCGCTGCTGCTGCTGCTGCTGGGGCTGGGGCTGCTGCTGCGCGCAGGTGGCGGGCGTCGCGGCGGAGAGCAGGGCGCCGGCGGCGCCGTGCTGCGAGGTCGGCGCGCCGGCGTCCAGGTCTCCGAGAAAGCCACTGGCGCCGGCCTGAGGCGCGGCCCCCTGTTGGTCGTGCGCAGGCAGGTCTGCCGCGCCGGCTTGGTTGTTGCCACCCCGCAGCAGCGGGTGCTGCTGCAAGCTGTTTGGCCGCTGCTGGTGGGCTGCGGACGCCTGCTGACGTGGCCGCTTGGTCTGCTTCCAACCGCCGTCCCCCGCCCCGGCTGCCGCGTCGTCCCTTCCGGGGCTCGCCCGCCGCCCGCTGCCCGCACAGCGCTTGCGCGTGTTCTGCGCCTGCGCCGCACCCTGCTGCTGCCTCGCCCTACCCGCGCCTGCCGCCGCCGCTCGCGGCCGCTGCCGCGCGCCACCGCCGGGGGCCTCCGCGCCGCACGCCAGCTGCACCTCCGGGCAGCGCTGGGGCGCGGCCCTGTCGAGGCGCAGCGCCCAGACGTCTTGATTGTACTGGGTCGGCTTTTTCCCCTTGTTGGCGGCGGCGGCGGCGGCGCCGGCGCCCGCATATCCCCCGACAATGGCCAGACCCTGCTGCCCCACCAGGACCATGCTGTGCGCGGAGCGGCCTGCAGTATCGATGACGGGTGAGAAAGAGAAGAGCGTCGACAACCTGATGGACGGCTCTGCCGTGCGTGTGCTGGGTGGATTACTTTGAGCTCAGGAAGGCGCGTGTGCCTGCAGAGGGCAGCCGGTGCAAGGCTGAAACACAGCCGCGGGAGGCGCCTTGAGTCGCGGGACCGCAGCTGCTCAGGCGCCAGCGCTGGGCGGCGTGACGTGGCACGGGCAGCCGGTCCGAGGCGCGGACTGTACTCGGCAGTGAGCTTCAGGCGGTAAATGTACAACCGCGATCCTTACCGGCGGGCCGCTCCTTGCTGCTGCTCCCCGGGTCATCGCAGGCTGACCAGACGACATCGCCGCTTGGCGTCACTACCAGCCTGAATGGGGTTCAGGAGGTCGCCGAGGTGTCGGCATGGGGCGTTGCAAGGGGTGCAGGGTGCAGGGTGCACACTGTGTGTGCGTAGAGAACTGGGAGTTGAGCAAACGCCTGTTTGAGCTGTGAGCAAGATACCTCTGTGAATGTTGTTTGAAATGCGTAAAACAGAGCAACAGTATTTAAGATCAACAATTGCATGCACTTATTGTGGCAGCGCGGCAGGCCCACATGACGGTGGCCGGGGCCCCCGCACACCAAAGCGCAAGCGCCCCGCCCCGGTGGCCCCTCACGTGTGGATGTCTCCCATCCTCTCCCGCGCCTCGTCGCTGGACTGCGGCGCGCCGCCAAACAGCACCACGCGGCCCGCGAACGCGACCGCGCGGTGGCTACTGCGCGGGCAGGGCGGCTGGCCGTACACGCCAGAGCCGGGGCTGAGAGCGCGCCAGGTGTTCTGCGGCAACATACATTCAAGGCTGGTTAGGCGGCCGCCCCAAGCAATTGAACATCTCGCATCAGGCCACCCAAACCCGGTCAAATCAGGCATTAAACCTGGTCAAACCAGGCGCGAACTGCCAAATCACCTGCAGCGCGTCGAAGCAGCAGAGGAGCGTGGGGTCGCCCTCGGGTATCACGCCCGACTTGCCCCTGCCGCCGAAGACAAAGAGGCTGTGGCCGATCACCGTGGCCGTGTGATACGCGCGCACGGTGGGCGGCACTGGGCGGGAGAGGAGGGGGCCAGGAAGGGAGGGGAGGTTCAATCAGGTAGCAAGAGGTGGGCGGCCGCATGACAAGAAGGGGCCAGTACGGTCGCGCAAGGCAGCGCGAACAGTACATGGAAATACAAGCGCGTCCGCTGATGGTGTTGGCGGGCATGTGCGACATGCGAGCCTGTTGGGCTACAAGCTACCACGCCTTTCCCACAGGAGCCCTTTGCTGGGAAGGCTCCTCGGGCCGGTGACACGGCACTTACCTCCGGAGGGCCGCAGGTCCGCCACCTCTCCAGTGATCACGTTGAGGGTCGCCAGTGAGTTCATGAAGACAAATGCGCCGCTGCCACCATAGCCCCCTTGCATTGTGCATTGTAAGTGGTGTGTGTGCGGGGAGGGGGGGTGATATGTGTGTGTGTGTGTGAGGGGGGGTGTTTGTGTTGCAATGACACGACTTGATTGGGCAATCCAGATGCCGGCAAGGGCATTGCAGGGCGAAAAACGCCTGGACTCCTCAAATGCACGCTGGGTTGGCGCCCTGATCGCAAGAAAGCACTGCTGAACCAGAATTGGGGCCTCAGCCAGGCGCCAGCACGGGGGGCGCACCGAAGATGAGGATCTCATTTGGGTGCCTTGGGTGCAGCTCCGCGGTGTGCGCTGTGCGCATCAGCAGGCACCGCTCGTCCCTGCAACCAAACACAAACGACGGCGCCAAAAGCGATGACACGTAAGTGTGCGTACGGCTGCCTCCTGAAGCGCTTAGCACTCTGCAGCTCAGTATGCAACACGACCCGGCTGCACACGCTGTTATGCGCGCGTGCGGCCACTTCAGCCCCGCACCACGCACCCGTACTCCGCCCTGCCCGTCGGCCCCGCCCCTCACCTGACATGCACCTGCCGCCAGGCAAACTGGTTGCCTCCCAGCTCCAGCGCCCAGCAGTCCGCCACCACGTCATCATTGGTCTGGCCACCAACCAGCCAGATCTCCTTGCCTCCGCTCACGCCCTCGTCGACCAAGGTAGCGGTGTGGTTGGCGCGCTGGGAGGGGGCCGCCAGCGCAGGGAGCCGGGGCGGTGATATTGGCGGGCCGTGCAGACGCCTGGGGGCACGAGCATTTTGATGGTGCAGCTTTCTCTGCAGCAACGCAGCTGCGGCGCTGCCGGACGCACGCCACGTCTCCCTTTTGGCTCATCCACACGTGTGCACGTCACGTGTGACGCGCGCGTCAACACAGACACGCAAGCACACACTCAAGCGTGGGTTACTCACAGCCACAAAGGGTAGCTCCTCGTATATCGTCTCCCAGGTGTTGCTGTCCGTGTCATAACGGATCAGGTCCTGAAAGAAGTGGCCCCTGGGAGCCAGGGACGGGCGAGCAGCAGGCGGCGCGTGCTGGGCTCAGCAGCGGCGCGCAGCCAGCCGAGACGCCGCGCTTCCTGGTGCGGCCAGGGGCGTGCGTGCCTTCCCATAGGGTTGCAACAACGGTCTTTGGCATTCAGGTGCGCTGGCCGCGCTAGGACGCACGCAGGCAGCTGCCGCAGTCGTTGGGGGTCTCACCCTCGCCGGCCGCCGCAGACGTACACGTATTTCCCCACCGCCGTCGCGCTGTGGCCGGCCCTGGCGGTCCTGGGGTCGTCCTTGAAGTCGTGGTGCTGCCATGCCATGAGCGGAGCGCCTCGCCCGCCTGCCGCTGCGAGCCCCTAGGGGGACCTGGAAGACCGCACCAGGCTGCCGCTGGTCTTGGCGCCGGCTGGCAACCCGCTTGCTCCGCTGCAAGGGTTTGAGAGACGCTGCTTGTAGCTCGCTAGTGCAATGGCAATGTGGTTGTGCTGCGTGCTGCTGATGCAGCCTGCCCCTGCATCATGAGTGCTGTGCACACGTGTGCAGCACGGCGCAGCATGTGGCGCAAGCGGCGCACTCCAGAGACGTCCGCCCCTCCTAGCACGAGCTCATATGGCTGGAAAATCTGATATGTGATATCTGCGAAACCAGGTCATGAGCCACGATCAAAGTCGCCTGTGACGAATACTGGCGCGCCAGGTGCTGGCCAGCAGACGCTAACAGACAAAGCGAAGTTCAAAGCATGTTGGAACTGATATCATAACACACGACCCCCGCGGCGGCACCATCGCTGCGGAGGTGTGCGCTCCTCGGCACCGCAGGCGGTTGCCGTGCTGCGCATGCTGAGCAGTCCCCTCGCTGTGCTGGCCCTTCGACTGATGCTGCAGAACAGCCGTGCTGCATGTCGTTGAGACACGGATTGCGGATTGTTTTTGGCCTGACAGTCCGCTGTCTGAACGCAGTTGCTCTGTGTTGTGGCAGTAAGTTGCGAAGCCCCTCGCCCTGGTGTACGCTTCGCTGCGAATTGCCGGCCGCCTGCGTGCACGCGACCGTGCCACAGAATGATGCATTTAATTGAAACATAGCGTCTGTCGAGCACACAGTTGCCTGCACAACAGCCGGGCATAGTGTGCGTCCTGGTGTATGGACGTGTCACTGCTTGGCAACGAAGTGACCTCACGGGCTGTCCACACAGACTGCGAACGCCGACCCATAATGCACAACTATTGCGTCAGGAGTTTGGTTGCTGTGATTGATCTGCGCTCCAAATGCGCCTTGTGTAGCGTTCAAGCGCAGGGTGGTCTCGAGCCATTGTCTATCAGTGTGGGTGGAGAGCCAGGGCGCCATTGAGGTATTTGGAGCTTGCGTGCAGCATGCTGGCGTGCTCACTCCCAGCCCCATGCGGAGTCTCAACATAGAGGTGTCTTAAGCTGGCAACAGTGCTGATATACGTTCATCTTGTGCTTGAAGAGGTGAGTGACGGCTGGTTGATTGATTGCTCTTGCAAACACCTCCATGCTCGTGGTGATCAGCAAAGCTGCCTTACATTGACCTTAGAAGTGCCATGCCGGCGTTGCTAAGCAGTGCGCAAGTGTATACGCCCCACCGCTTGCATGTACACAGTGCGGACTGCATCTGAAGGACTGCTTCAGGATGCAGAGGTGCACCAGTATGCTGCCTGGAGGCAACAATCAGGCTTGCAACCGTTGAGAAGCTGTCAGTGGGATATCGCCACCCACCGCCCCGCCATCCCCCCGTTGTGGCATCCGCCGTGTGGATGGCCGCAGGGCAGATGGTGTGACATTGACCTCTTAGTGTCAACCTGAAAGGCCCGCAGGCCACATAGAACCTACAACCGAGAGATTTATACCACTGAAAATAGTTTGAGGAAGTCGCATACCACTGAATCTGCGCGTTACGCTATCAAAGTGATCCTGGTTCCGACGGACGTGCCGCGGACGGCCGGCGTGCTTGGATAATCGCACATAACCGCACACTCACGTTGCTTTGGCATTATCTGTTATTGAGCCACACACTTCCCAGTTTGGTGGAACACCGGGAACCCGGTTGCATCCTTGATCGTACAGCGGCGCCAACAGGGCATGATGAGAAACCTTCATTTAAACAAGGACAATGATATCATGCTGCTGATGGCAGCAACTGCGGCGGCGCTGCTGCCCTGGGCGCGTGCCCAGGCGATCGCGTCAGTGACCCCATCCATCGTGGGCGGCAGGACCGCCCCCCAGAACAGGTGCGCCCTCGATCACACCTGCGAACAGATATGATGCACATGCAACGTGTGAACAGAGCACAAGATCAGGGAAACGGGGTGACATGCAGTGGGCGGACTCTCTTTACTACCCCATGACTACAGCTGCACAGCAGGCAGGCGGTTGGCTGCGCAGCCGAGGGCAGCCAGCCGCCGGACAGCGACAGGCTTGCCGTGCAATTTCTTGAACCCCTGGACCCAGACCACCAGTGTCGTGCCACAGAAAACATTGCTACGGCCCGTATCAAAAGGACACCCACACAGCCCCCTTCAGGATCCGCACACATTACTTTGGGCCCAAAAAGCCTGCCTTCAGCACGGACAACAGCGGCCCGTTTGCTGAGTTCCTCAACGCCCCAAACACAGGTTTGTGTACCAGCTCGGAATCAGGGAAGACGGGAGCGGCGTGTGCGGCGCGTCTTTGGTCCGCGAGGACGTCGGCCTGACTGCGGCGCACGTGAGTGGGGACAACACGATTCAGAGTGACACCGCGAGGCATGCTCGACGCATTGCGCGCTGGTCCAAGGAGAGCTTATGCCGCTTTGCAGAGATTTCGTTTTAAACGAAGAAGGGGAGGGTCGGGTGCTGTCAGCCACCAGCCGTGTGATCACATACATCCTCTTGAGGGGCCACAGGGCCTGCATGGGCCCTTGGACAACCCCGCAACGCCAATAATGTTGAACATAAATTGGGCAGGCAGGCTTGGGCTGACCATTGCGCCCTCGCGTATCACATGTTGCCACAGTGTGGTGTGAAGAAGTCACCATCATTCGTATTGTTTGCAGGTGAGTGGGAGGGGCTGGCTGGGTTGATGGCCACAAACAGCCCGCCAAAAGGCACCTTTGGGCGTGAACTAGCTTTGGCACACGTGTGCGCGCCAGGACCTGCTGCCCATCTTCCGGGTGTCTGCAAGGATCTCATTGTGCACTGTTAGCCTGCTGCTTCTGCCCGCACGACAAATCAATCTGTGAAAATCTGACTCCGCAAGCAAGCGTAGCGCCCTTCGAATCGCATAATCGCCTTGGCCAGCATGCACCCCACCGAGTCAACGCATACCACGTCAGCGGGCCCCGGCCTTCCACGCAACCAGAGGAGCGGAAGGGCGGGTGATGAGGATTCTGTCCGGCACTCGCTCAGCCTGCAACCCCTTGCCGTCCTTGGGCTTGCAGGCTCCTGGACGAACGTCGGCTTGCCGGAGGCCGAGGGTCTCCCGTTCGCTGTGTCCAAGGTTTTCACTCACCCTGATTACGAATCCGAAACCAGTAACAACGACATCGCTCTCGTGTTCTTCACCAAATGCGCGGTGCCTCGGACGCGTGCCGCCCAAGTCGTCCAGATGGCGACGTACGAGGGTGGGCAGCAGCGCGGCGGGCCCGGGGTCCAGCTTGCCGGCGCGCGCGCGGGGCTGCTTGTGCTCCTGCCTGCTTGTCCAGCCTAGGGGTGCTTCAACCTAGCGGATGGAAGGGCGCAAACGTGACAGCGCATGCGACGACCGCGCATCACCCACCCTTCTCCTTTCCTGGCGCCTGTCCTCAGAGCTTGTGGCTGCATCTGGGTCTACATGGATGGTATCAGGCTGGTGAGGATTTTGGCAGATGCTTGCCAGCAGCGAGTGTCACCTGCAGGCGAGGTTGCAATAGCTCAAGGGGACGGTGCCAGAGCACGCACGGGCAGGGGTGCTCAAGCAAGCGAGGCCGGCGGCCGGAACCTCCCCCGTCCGCCATTTATCCTGGCAAGCCCATGGGCCATGCCTGCCTACCTGCCCACAACTAACGCTGCACGCCATGCAAGCAGGCGCGATGCACACCCCCACCCTCAATCACTCCCGGCCGCTTGCCATTTTACAAGGGGCACCACGTCCAAGGGCGCCAACTCAAATGGCGCAAACGGGCAGTTTGCTACGAAGCTGCAGTACGGCCTTCTGACGTACGCCACCAACTGCGAAGCCTCCCTCGGACAGCCCATCAAGATCTGGTGAGCGAGGGGCGAGCTGCATGCGGCATCACGGGCCCGGCAGGGCCCGCCTTGCGGGCCATCGCACAGACAAACGAGCCATGATGCGTGCGGGCAGGGGCTTGCAAGTTCGTTGCCAAGGTCTGCATGCATGAGTTGGATGCGCTGAAGCGCCTTGCTTGTCCTGCACAAGGGGTGCTTACCTGCGCGGGTGTTGCAAGAGGCGATGCCTCCCGCAATTCAAGCAAGTGGCCCCCGTGCAGGCGTGGCCGGCGCCCTCTAAGCACCAGCATCCATATATCCTCGCAGCGCCCAGGGCCTTCGTAGTGTGGATGGACTTTCGGTGCCTCGCCAGGACACCTGTCAAGGTGCGGTGCAGTGGGCTGCCGCTTTCGTTCGCGAGCCTGCGCTTGCCTTGCCAGCCCGTCAATAATGACGCTACCCTGCACATGTGCATGCCGCAGCATTCCCTTGCGCCCCGCGACGCGACACATGCACGCACCTGCTGTTCGTTGCACTCACTGCAGCCCAATCCCCCCACGTGCGCACGCAGGCGACAGCGGCGGCCCCATGACCTTCAACACCCGCAACGCAGCAAACCCCCTGGCCGGGGATCCTGCAGACGACAGGATCGTGGGCGTCACCTCATACGGGTGCGCGGGCAGGTGGACTTGCTTGGCGCGCGAAACAGGCCAGATCATGCGGACAATGTGCCCGTACCTGGTGTAATCTAAGCCGCGTCAACCCGCCATGGGTCCCCCTACCCCCGCCCCGCCTGCGCTGTGTGTGAGCGCCAGGGGCCGCCCCATGCCAGCAGCGCCCTGCTTCCTCCGGGCCGTGCGCCCGTGCCTGGGGGTCATGCGCTGCTGCGCATGCCGATGACCCCTTGCGCTCACCGTCCAGCTTCGCTCCGCTCTGACCTCGCTGCGCAGGGCGGGGTGCGGCCAGCGCGGGTCGCCAGGGGTGTATGCGTCAGTCCCTTTCTTCAATAAGTACATTACTAACCTCATGGATGCGGTGAGGTCCAGCCTCGAGTTGAGGCACATTGCAGGATGTCACACGGCCGCTGATCATCATCCACGGGATGGGGGGGGCCACGTGGTGCCAAGAAATGCAGGAATGCTGCACACCATGCGCACGTGCATGCTCTCAGCACAGCGGTGCGCTGCCCTTATTGCAGCGCTCATTTTTCAACAAGGCATGTGCTGAGGCGAGGCCTGTCCACCTCGCGCCGGGGCCACTGTGCGCGCAACAGCCCCCAGCTTACTGCTGCTCAATCATCGCGTGGGGACCGCAGGTCAAGAAGCCATGCGCCTCTGGTACCCTATCATTTGCCCAGGAGTCCGCCACAGCCAACTGGTACGCTAAACCCTCAAAAATCACCCAGCTCAAGGCTGGACAGGGCCTGGCCACCTGCCAGGCTGCGTGCGCTAAGCTGGCAAAAAGCAAGACGGGCTGCGCTGCGTTCAGCATCAACAAGGCCGACCCAACGGCTGCTGTCCCGTCCTGCGACTTGTACTATGACTGGGTGCCGCAGCGGGTGTGTACCCCGGCCGACGCCGAAATCAATTGCAAGCTCACCTCCCAAGGCTCTTATAGGGCCAAGTGGGTGTACTAATAAGCAGGTGTGATGGCAATGCTGGTGCGTTCCGCACGCTATCAACCCATTGAGTGGCCACTCCTGCACGCCTTAAACTTTTTTGGCTCGAGCTGCACTCGACACTGCTGTATATTTCACACCCCGGACAGTGGGCCCACTGTGGAGGATGGTGGATTGGCCTCCACGGGGTTGTGCCGCCGGCGTGTCTCCATCCTGTTTGGGCTCACCGGCACTGTGCCCCCGCCTGGATGCTCATCCTGCCTGCCAGTGGGGTGCAAGCGCTCTGCACTTGCACAGTCGATGAACCTATCTATTTGCGCACGTTGAGGTTTGGTCGAGCATGTGTTGCACTGCCTCACTGCAATGCCGTGAGGAACAGAGCTTTGTCAACTAACACGCAATGCTTTGCGTGTGTCACAAGCTAGCCAACTTTGCATGTCGGCCCAGTGCTTCACCTTTGAAGACACACTGCTGCTCGTGAACCCTGCAAGAACCACGCACACATCTGCCCTGCTTGCTTGCGTTGCTTACTCACCCTCCAAGCGCTAAGAGGGCAATTATAAACTGCAAGGCAGTCGTCTGGTCTTCCATTCTCTGCTGTGTGCTGGTTGACGCACTCTCAAGCGTGCCACAAACACCAAAATATGATTCCAATGCAGGCTTTATGGTCCGGCGGCGAGGGGGCATGACACACACGTGCGCTGCAGACTGTCACGTTCCATGTGACTTTGCTGACCTGCTCTAGATACACATGTGTACACCTTCAATTCCCAAGCGTTTCGATGGGCACAGGCTGCAAGCACCATGAAGTTACCCGCACATCAAGCCATTTTGCGCCATCCAAGAAGCTGTTCCTTACTACTGCTGGTGCGTATCTTCTACAGACCCTCAACCTCGGCACAACAGAGAGTGGCATTTTTGCCATCTTATTGTGCAAGCCTTTGGAGCGTGCGGTGCACCTTTCAGCACGGAGATGTGCGCAGCTCTGCAACCTTGAGTATATACGAAAGCCCCGCGTGTGCGCAGGTGCACTTGCGCCTTGTGCAAGGCACCCCGCCAGCAGGGTCGGCTCACCGCGCGGGCACATGGCTTCGGTGTGCGGCCTTTTGTGTGGGCAGGTGTCCCGCTGCGTTCAGCAAGCCTTCTGAATGGATTTTCACTGCTCTGTAATACATTTTATGTTTGGTCCACCTTTCCACGCCTTTCCGCTGCGAGGCGCAGCGCGGCGCGGCTGGGATCTATCCCTCGTCAACTAATGCCTGCTGTGTAAGTTTGTACTGAGGCGCAACTTGGGCAGCCCCTGCTTAGAAGGGCGCACGCAGGCGCCATCGTCCAACACCGCGCGTAATGGGCACGATTGTCACTCAAAGAGTTGTTCATGTGCCCTTGATTCCTGAGCCCCTGCTGTTAATCAAGCGAGCGCAATGCACTAGATGTGCGTTTGGGTGGCGCCAGGGGGGGGGGCGGAGACAGTGCTGTATGCTCCTGGACATTGCGCAATGCTGCTCCTGCTCCTGCTGCTCCTGCTGCTGCTGCTGCTGCTGCTGCTGCTGCTGCTGCTGCTGCTGCTGCTGCTGTATTTTTTGCCATCATTGCACTTCAATGATTGGGTCATGTCCCAGGCCCCCCCAGCCACCCCGCCCCTGCTGCCAGGGGAGCAGGCAACCCCTGAAGACATGCGCCCAGGGCTGTGTGCGCGAGCAGAATACGCTGCTTGGAGGCAGGCCAGCGGCCCCTGCGTGCCACCACTGCCGCGCTCACCCGGTCACCCCGCGGCTGTGCATCTGGAGAACCCGTGGGCAAACTTCTGCCAGCGTACGGACAACTATAAGTCATGCATGGGAGTCCAAAACGTGAGTTTACAAGTGCAGATGTTGAGCAGTCACAGGTCAGCCCGACCTGACGTGCAGCACCTTGCCGGTGCCCGCAGAGTTAGTGACTCTGGCAGCTGCAAGCAACCTGCGAAGAGGTTGCCCCGCCCCTGAGGTAGGGTTCGGAGGCCTCCAAACTCCTGCATCGGCCACCGCTTTGCTTTCACAACCAATCCCCCCCTCCATTTGCAGCGTATAAACTCGTATCACACGCGCTTTCACGCACGATTGTTTTCGTTTGCCTGTGTGCAATTGCGCCAGGCTGAGGGCCGCATTTACTGTCCATGGGCCCAACACCCTCGGTCTCACCGCTGCGAGTGATGATGTTTGGTATTGCCCCCTCGCATCCCCCCTCCCCCCTCCGCCAGTGCGCTACTGCGAGTCGGCGGCAGGGAATGGCGTTTACACACTCGCGTTAAACCTGATACTTTTGCACAAGCTGGGTGTTTGCAAGTGGAGGGCAGGCGTTTGGCAGCGACCCACCTTCGCGCTTGCGGGAAGGTGCACGGCTCTGCTCTGCGCGCAGCACCTACCGAAAGGAATACCCCACCACCCACTACAGGAAACAGCAAGCTCAGCACGAGTTTGCACTCATCCAGGCACACAAAGCACGATATGCCGGCCTGTGCATGTGAATCATGCTCGCGTGCAGGCCTGGCTAGTGCTTGTTGCAGGCCGGCAGCTCGAGGGTTCTACACACTTGCACAATGGTTGCAGGTGTGCTGTGCAGCCATTGGCCCCCTCCGCACGTTGCAATATCACACTCACATCACAAGTGCCGCGGGGCGCATGAGTGCAAGGCCAGGCCGCGGGGCTCTAGAATGAAAGACGGGTCAACGAGTTGAGTCAACTTCAAAAACGCGTCATCATCACTCGCGGCAGCTCCAGCGCAGAATACAGGGATTTCTTAGGTCTTATCAGATGCATATGCGTGGTTTTTGATCCCTATTTCGTATGTGTGCACAGGCATCATATGTGGTATGAGCTCGAGGGATTTCGGCACCCACCCGTCTGTGCGCAGAACGGTGATGGCCCCGCACGCGTAGTCGCATTTGCTACAGTTCACAGCGCTTATCTCATCTTTGGTTTGCTCTACGCCAGGCTGCCTTCTGTTCGCCTCGGTGATCTGGGCTCGTGAGCGCAAGCATAATGCAGCAGCTCCGGCAAGTGATCCTCAGGCATGTGAGGATTCCAGTACAGCAGACCAGCAACCCAGCAGCAGCGGCGGTCTCGTCGTTTTGGCGAGGGTTCGCTGGCGGTGGCTACCTGGACAAGGACGAGGTCACCTCGCGTGTTTTGAATGTCGCGAAGCACTTCGAGAAGGTGGACCCCGGCAAGGTGGGCGCCAGCGCGTGCTGGAGCGGTGATCTGCGCGCAACACACCGCTGCCAGGCGCTGCTGCAGCAGCTCGAACGTGCTGCTGGTCGTGGCAGCTGGCACAAGCAGTGGCCACGTCACCCGCCTGAGGCAGGCATGGGTCTCAGCACACTTGTCTCACTTATAAATTGGGTGGCAGAGGGCAGGTTCGGTGGGGGAGCGCAGGGATGCTCTTTGTGTTGAACGGCAACACGTGATCACATTGTAGTCTGCGCAGTGTGGAGTGGTGAAGGTTGCATCAAGTACTGATGTGGCAGACAGGGCATACAATCCAACAGTTGCAGAGCCGCCAACCCGGCTCCCGGCGTGGTTGCACGCAAACATTGCCGAATCACGGCGCAGGGCCGTGCCATGCTAACATGCATGCAACAGCACAACGAACAAGCACAGCCTCCGCCCTCTTCTCTCTCTGTCCCTGTCCGTTCCTCACACCCATATGCACGCGTGCACGGACACACACACACACGCTCGCGCGCGCGCGCTCGCGCGCGCGCACACACACACACACACACACACGCACGCACGCACGCACGCGCGCGCACGCGCACTTCAGGTTGTCCCAACCGCTAGCTTCGAGAAGGACCTGGGCTTGGACAGCCTCGACGTGGTCGAGCTTGTGATGGCCTTTGAGGAGGAGTTTGCGATCGAGATCCCCGACGCAGACGCCGATAAGATCTCATCCGTGTCCGACGCCGTCAACTACATTGCCAGCCACCCCATGGCCAAGTGATGCAGCCGAGGAGCCGCTCGCGGCAGCGCTGGCGGCGGCGGCGGCGACGACGGCGTGGTGCGCTCGGGGGCGATGCGGTTGCTGATGTAGGAGGTTAAGGAGGCGCACGAGCACGGCACGCGGCTGGACTGCAGCGGAGCACGTGGCACCCGGCTGCCTGAATGTTGGGTTTGTAGCTTGACTTTGGCCTATCTCTGGCTCACGCACTCAACATGGCTTGATGCTTGGCTTTGTGGTTGGCTAGTACTTGCGCGTATATCCGCGCTGAGTGTGTTTGTTCTTTGGTTGCATGGTGTGCGGGTAATTTTTCGCATATGAATACTGGACAGGCCCCCACCGCTAGGGATTCCGAAACGAATTCAATGGCGAGATGAACAGCACCACAGGCCCTTCGTGATTGGTGGGGAATTGTGTCACCGCACGCACATCCTGTACTTCTATGTACTCATGCAGGTCACAAGAGAAAGGCACGACCTAAAGCAAAGCAACCTGCTCGCAGGTCATAGCCCATCGCCCGACATTTTCCAGTCGAGTATGCATCCGAGACTAAGCTGCTCTGGTTTTCCCCCTTACATGCCTCTGACAGCCACTCCAGCTATATGATTATGTTATCCCTGAACTTTCAACTCAAGTTGGACAGCAATTCCTCTCCTCTCCTGCAGCAAGCGCCGACCAGAGATCATATCAGAAGCTCATTGGTGCGCACGTCACCTGGCACCACCGGGCACCAGCGAGTTACGGGCTCACGCCCTTGCTTCGCCTCTCACATGCAAGCTGAGTTTCACATACAAATCATCCAAACTTGCGAATCCCCGTAACTCGCTCCTGATGCCCCACGGCAGCCAAGAGGGGCGAACGAAGTAGCCGCTCTGCGTGGCTGTTGGGTCCGAACAGCAGTTCAGGTGAATAGCAGCCCCAAAACAAGTTGATTGTTCGAGAATAATCACATCTATGTACATAGCGTTGGGTCTGTGAGCTTCAGAGCACTTCACCCGGCGGACGGACACTCGCTGGCACCAAGAGTGCGAAACCCCACGTGTCTTAGGCGCAAGCATGCTGTATAAGCTTTTGAATACCATCAATACGGCTCTTGCGTCGCGTGGCGTTCTGCTGGCCCTGACACTGGCCGTGTGCGCAGACGCGCATGGTGAGCTGGGGCGGGCCTGGGTGCACAGGCCTTGAGAAGACCCCTGGCTCGAGAAGGGTGCAGCTGGAATGGTTTGCCTCAAGCGCTCCAGGGCCTGACATTCGATGCATCCTCCCTGCAGCACACTGTGCTGGTTGTGGCGCCTAGGGAGTGTAGTGGTGGTGACCTGTATGGTACCCGACTGCATTTACCTGGCACTCTCAGGGCACGTGTTCTCACCAAAGGCGCGTCAAGTGGTAGCAAATGAGAAGGGCGTCGGCAACATACAGGGATGCCCACACTGCATGCAAGGCGGCCGTGCAGGCACCCAGCCAGGTGCGATTTCTTTTGCTAGTATTCCTGCTTGCCTTGAGGCAACATACCCAGCTGCTTCCAACAGGCATGAAGTGCTCACTTGACTCTCATCCACGCATTGCTTGTGATTGGTTATCGCCCACTGTTACCAATTCTGCGTGGCGCCACGCAGACATTTGTGGCGCACCCGGCCAGAGCGGCCAGGACGTTACCAACACGTTCTTTGGTCTGCAAGGTGACACCAGTCACAGCCAACTGGACTGAGTGGGGGCAAGATACACTCTGCCGACTGGATGCTCACGCTTGCGCTGATGGCCCTTAACTTTCCAGCAACACCATTCCATGGCTATCAATCCTGGTACTTGCGGCTTTGGCAGCTAGCCTGGCCCTACCGCAAACGCTTCATAAAGCCTTGAACACGCTCCTGACTGCTCTCCCTCATGCCCGCGCAGCCTCATATCAAGCAGGCCAGATAATAGAGTTTGGTGTGTACATCAATTCCGCGCACGGCGGCCGCCATTCGTTCAGCGTCTGCCCGCTGCCGCGCCAGCAGGCCACCCAAGCGTGCTTTGACAGGCCGGAGCATCAGCTGCTGAAATGGGACGGGTCATACGGCCACGGCAAGCGGTTCCACTACATGCAGACAGGCGGGGAAGCCCAGGTTGGGAACTATGTTCTCAAGTGAGTGCGCAAGGAGACCTGCGCTACGCAGGGCAAGTTTTTATCGCGGGATGCCACCCTTGGGCGGGGGCGCGGCGGGGCAGCTTGGGGGCGGGGTGTGTGGCCATGCACATCATCGGCTGCAATGACGTTGATTTTTATCTTTTGTCCCTGCGGGGCAAGCTCCTGGCACAAGATGATGTACAGGTTGCAGCTAGGGCTGCGCAAAGGTGCTTTTTGAACTTATGCTGCATGAACATTGGACCCCCCTTCCCCGCCATTCTGGGCAGATTCAAGCTGCCGCCAGGCATCAGCTGCACTGACCAGGGTCAAGGATGCATGCTGCAGGTGCGACCCTGCAAATGCAGAATCTGCTGAAGTACTGCACGCTGTGTCCACCATGTATGTCGTGGCTTTCATGACAAGGCAGAGGCTGCACAGCCTCTGGCAAAACACTTGTTGCATTTGCAAGCATTCGTTCTCACCCTGTGGCACCTGCAGTGGAACTGGGCGGCGTACCAGAGCGGGGCGCTGCAGTGCGAGAACTCCGCCTGGGATGTGCCAGAGGACTGTGGCAAGTGAGTTGTGCAGTAGAGACACATGAGGCCAGGACACAGTCTACGAGAGTGGCTGTGGCACGTTGGATCGGCTGCCTCAGCTGTGTAAGCTGTAGCAGCTTCTGGGAGCAGCTATCCATGCCCAGACCAAGGGCTGCATGTTCAGCATCAGCTGCATGCACTGGGAGCTTTGCAGGAGTTTGTTTATAAATGGCTTTTGTCCCAAACTTTCTCCTCATCAAACCAAACCTTCTGCAGGGCCACCCGCACCAACAATGCGACCTGCGACCCTCACGCGTCATGGGAACAATGCATCCCCCGCCTGGCGCCGCCAGGCCAGATTGCGACCGAGAACTTTGTGAACTGGTGAGCAGCGCAGGCAGTACGAGGGTGTTTGCCGCAGTAGGAGCAGGGAGCATCCCAGTTGTTGTCGTGAGCCCTCCTGATGGGCATCGTCCGCCTGCCCAGCTGCCTGGGGTGCCCTTGCACGTCGTAGCACGCTGACGGACCGCCCTACCCCTTGCTCCCCTCTTGTGTCTCTCTCTTCCAGCATGGACGTGCAAATAACGCCCAGCAGCGGCTCCCAGTGGCTTCCCTTTTTCCTGCCAGTGGCCCACCACATCAAACCGCCAATCACCCTGCCGCCGCCGCCGAGGCCACTGCCATTTTTCAAGCCTGCCAGCCCCCCGGCCGTGGCACCGCAGCAAGCAACGCACGCTGCCGCTGGCGCCGGCGGTTGTCCTGCGTGCAGGTGCTCCGCTGACAGCGCACCCGCGCCCAGCCGCTGCCCAGGCACGCGTGATGCGGCGCGCGCCCAGTGCCTGTGCACCAGGATGGGCATCGCCCCTGGCGCCACGTCGGCAGATGTCGAGTTCAGCTGCCTTGGGGGGGTCAGCTGTGGCGCCAAGAGTGCGGAGAGCAGTGCCTACATCAGCTGTGGATCTCAGGAGCTGTTCAATCAAGCACTCGGAAGCTGCGACGCGGCTGCCAGGGTGACCTGCCCCACCAGGTGGAGTGGCTCATAGAGGCGCTGTGCAGGGCTCAGGCGACCTGGGGCTGCTGCCGCGGCAAGGCAAGTACATCCCTGGAATGTGCATTGTGTTGTGGTGGTTTCGACCATATGCCAGTCTTTCCAAACAGCACCTGAAGCCCTGTGCCATTGACCAAGGCTGCCAAACCTCGCAAAGCCAAGCATGTGACAACGCTGCATTACACTGCTGGGCAGGGGTGTGCCGCTGCTTGTCCTGCTGTGACCCGCATCTGTCATTGGGGCATTTGAAAGGGGCAACCCATGCAAGAGACTGAGCACATCATATGCATGCGGCTGCATAATCCGCTTTTCACCGCGCGCAAGCTGTCAACAGCCACATGAATGAGGCCAGGCGCAGCGCTGCCGCTACCCCCTTGGCATGCCACAACCGCTTGTCGCATCCGCTTACCGCATGCCCACAACAAACCCTGAACTTCCACCCTCTGAAATCATCACTGGCCTCTCGGAAATTCAAGTAGCCCCACACTTCAGCACTTCATCTACTTTCCCTGCTGGGTCGTGACTGCTCAAATCAAAGCGCCACACCCATTTCGTTTGGCAGAGGCGTGCGTGCGGGCTCATAGCATCGCGCCACTCCGGGCGGCGCCCGCTAGGCCGATTGCATGAGCCAGTCAATTCACATACTTGTGATGTTGGGTTATGGTATGCTTCTGGCCCACGCATACTCGCATGGCTTGTTTCCCGCATGCGCCCAGCCCTTGCATCACATGCAGGGCGGCACGCTCGGCCGCACTCCATTTCATCTTTGCTTCGCTGCATGCATGCAGCCATCGACGCGCGAATGGGGCACGTGGCTCTAACATTCATCTACATGTAATACACACTTCCCTGTATATGATGTGAGGTATTTGATGCAGCTGTTGTATGTGCTTGGTGCTGGCTGCGCTGAGCCATTTCACTGCCTGCGGCAGGCGGACGCGCCGGCGGTCGCACAGGTAGTGTCCAGCCTTGTGGAGGCCGTCAGCGCCTGGCCAACTGGTTTTCAACAGCATGTCTTCAAAGTATTCACACGCCTTGACGCCAGCATGGGATCTGTGGCCAATTGCGGCCTGGTGTGTCACCGAGGCCAGAGCTCAGCTGTAGCTAGGTAGCCGCCCACCACCTGCCAACGCCAGGTTTGCACGCTCCCGAGAGCTACTGCGAGCCTCCCACATTGTGATTGTGGATTCCTTAGACAATTTAAGGTCGAACGGCCGTGATAATTGATCGGAAACGCGGGAGGAGGATGGGAATGCCCCCGGCGTCTGACTGACCAGTCCAATTGCTTCTGACCTGAACTTATTATCCAGACAAACGAGTGCACACGGCGAGAGACCTGCCAGCCAGCTACCAGGCTTTGCGACGACCGCAACAACGCCTGGTCGAGGGGCAGCGTGGTGCCAGGCTTGCTTAAATTTAGACTCATGGCAGACTCTGTGGAGGCACACGATGTCACAGAGGTGTCGGGGACGCCGGGAGGACTGGAGGAGGGGCATACAGCAGCGGAGCCCAGCGTCCTGCTGAGCAGAGACAATCCAGTCGGTGCCACAAGCACCCCGGACGATGAGCCAACAACGGCACCCGTCTCACCGGCGGCTCCGCTGTCCGTGCCGGCCGTGCTGCGGCTGCGCGGCGTCCCGTTTGCCGCCAACGAGAGCAACATCATGCAGTTCTTTGGGCAGGCTGAGGACATTCAGCAGCCAATTGAGGTGTACATCTGCCGCAGGAACGGTGAGGGGCCTGCCGACCGGCCGCCACTCCAGCGGTTGGTGGTCAAGCGCCTGGCGCTGTTTGACCAGCCACTCGCTGCAGAGAGCCGTACAGGGGCGCGCCCGCTCGCGGCTGCCGTCACGCCGCTCGCCCCGCCGCTCGCCCTCCTTCCAGGCCGCAGCACGGGCGAGTGCTATGTTGTGCTGCCGTCCGCCGCGGACGCTGTCTCGGCGAGGCAGCAGCTCGACAAGCGCCACATAGGCCACAGATATATAGAGTGAGCAGTTGCTTCGTCGAATTGTTGGCGGCAGATGGACTCTCCTGTCGCCGATGGCGGAGGTTTGACAGGCCCTGACTCGCGGCAAGTGCTTGCATCAAACCCATTCCTGAAGCCGCATGCTGACACACGGCATGCGCCGCACCAGCGGCGGCGGGCGCAACCCGCGCACGCCCAGAGCCTGCACACCCTGTCATAACCTTTTATCCCCGCGCTCACAACAGCCTCATCCAAAAGACGGCACGCGCACAAACACGAAAACCCTGCTGTCAGGATTTTCGAGGCCAGCATGCCTGATCTGGAGGCGGTCAGGAAGATCCTAGAGGACGCCCGCCCCCGCGGCCACTGCCTGCGCCTCCGCGGCCTGCCGTTCAGCGCGACCGCCGCTGACGTCATCGCGTTCCTGGAGGGCGTCCAGCTGGCGGAGGGGCCCGGCGCGATCGTCTTCACGTTCACGGCGGACGGGCGCCCGACGGGCGAGGCGTACGTCGAGGTGGTCGACGAGGCCGCGGTCGCCGCCGCGATGCAGAAGCACAAGGAGCTCATGGGGGCGCGCTATATCGAGGTGTTTGCCAGCACGAAGCACGACCTGGTGCAGGCGGCGCAGCAGGCGCAGTTCCAGCAGAGCCAGGCGGCGCTGCGGCGGCAGTGGGCGGCGCTGAACGCGCTGCCGGGCGCTGGCGGCGCGCCGGGCGGCGGCGCTGGCGGGGTTGGCGGTGGGGCCAGGGCGGCGGGCGGCGCGGGGCAGTACGGCTTGCCGTATGGCATCGGCGGCCCCAGCGGGGGTGGGGACATGGCGGGCCTGGCGCAGGCGCTGGCGGGTGAGTGGTGCAAGGATTGGACGGGGAGGTGCAAAGAGCGAGAGGAGAAGATGGTCCCCTGCTAGGGGTGTGGGCTTCAAGTCGTACATACCCATGCAGAGGTGCTGGTTGGCGTCCGATGCACCTCCTCTGCTGAATCTGCAATTTCCCCGCAGTCCCCACGTCCATCCGTTTGCTGCGGGCGCGTTCTAACCCCACCGCGCCCTTGGTCGCTTCCTCCAGGCATGAGCCTCGGCAGCCGCCAGGTGCAGCAAGCCCCCGGCGGCGGCGCGTATGTCGTTGCGCCCGACATGATGATGCAGTATGGGGGCGTGCCCTATGGCGCCAGCATGGGCCCCGTGGCCATGCCTTACTATGTGGTGGACCCCGCAGGCATGGGTGCCGCAGCCGCTGCCGGCGGCTTCGCCGGCGGCGGCGGCGGCGGCGCAGCCGGCGGCGCCAGCGGCGGCGGCCGCGGGGCGCAGCACCGCGGGTTGTATCAGCAGGCGCAGCACCAGCAGCAGGCTGGAGTGATGATGGGCGCTTATGGCCAGCAGGGGGTGTTCATGCCCGCGGGCACCATGGTGCCCCAGCCGCAGCAGCAGCTGGTGCAGCAGCAACAGCAGCAGCAGCAGGCGCAGCAGCAGCAGTACATGCAGCAGTGGCAGCCTGGGGTTGGTGTCCAGGGGATGCAGTCCGGCCCGGACTGGGGCTACACAGGCGCCATGCAGCAGGGCGTTGCCTCCCAATCAGGTCAGTCCAGCGCCCGCCCCTCGCCTGTTGCATCGGCCGTGGGGCCACGCGAAATAGCCGGCTGCCTGGATAGCGACAATGGGGCTGCAAAAGCCGCCTTCTCGCCAGCCGGGTGTGCCCGTGCATGTGCAGCGTCTATGTTTGCGCACATGTGAGGATGCCATCCCCATCTGTATTCGCTCGCTCGCATTTCCTGCCAGCCAGTCGATGCATCTTGACTGACCCACCGCCAATCTGTACCCCACCCTCCCCATTCCTCCCCTCGCCCTGCAGCACCTGGGCATTTCGGGCAAGGGATGCTGGGGCAGCCGCCACGCGGGCCAAACCACGGGCAGCTGTGACGGGCATGCCCCTTTCCTTGGGACGCCCTGCCGCCTTGATCGCTCAGGCGCCTCTGCGTGTGCGTGTGAGGCCGGGCGCCTACAATCGCCACTCTGGCAAATTGCTCCCTACCCTTGCTGTCAGCCTCACGGCACAGCGCAGCATCCGCTGCCATTCGAACACCGACTGCGGCTCTCTCGCATCTCGGGGTCCTCTGCGGCGCTGCGACGGCGCGCGCAGTCGACCGCCCGCCGGCTGGCCTCCCGCCCCACTGCTGCGTAGAAAGGGCGCTCGCAGCATCGCCCAGCCGAGCGCACGTGCCGGCAATAACGGTGCCGCTGAGCGACCTCAGCGGCGCCGGGCGCTCGCGCCTTCACTCGATGCGCCGGCCCGGGGCCAACGTAACCTCACACGTTTTTTTGGCTGCGCCTGCAATGCATGCACTACAGCACAACCTGTTCTTACCTGCTGGCTGGGGGCCCTGCTTTACCACCGCATGCCTTTCACAATTTCTGCTGGCTCACCACACCTGCCGGGATTCCATAGCCGACCACGCGCACTTCCAGGCCTCTGCACTCGCATGCGCACCCAGCTGCTGAGAAGCTGCCGTGCCGCGCTGCGCTGTGCCGCGCCCTGCTGCGTTTGACGGGGCACCCGGATCCGCTTTGGCTGCTGACGCGGCTATTGTGACACGACCCTTACAAGTGGGGGCGAGCCGGTCGCAGGCTTGCGAGCTTGGCAGGACATCGTTTGCCTTTCAGGTGTGTTTTTGAAGGTGTGTGCTTTACAAACGCAATCTAGCCCATCACACAGAGACGCGCACACACGACACCTCCTCAACGCACAAACGTAGTCCGCAAGGGCGCGCCGCCGCCAGCCACAATGTGGCCCGGCCTGCAGGGGTCGGACGGGGGCGCTATTGCGGCCCCGCTTTGCTGCCTGCAGGCTGGCCCCGTTGCACGACGCGCGGTTGCAACACCCTTCCCCTGTGGTGCTTGAACGCGCGCTTGCGGATGGCCGCTCCGCCCCTGTTCTTTTCCATAGGCTTATACCTTTGAGCCAGGGCGCACTTTCCGCTTCCAACTGACGTCGAGCTGCCCGCGTGAGCTGGCGGGTCACCCGCTTCCCCGCCCGCGAGAGGGTCGCACAGGGCCTGCCTTTCCCCAAGCGCCTGTGAAGCGTCCGCATTTGCATACCTACCCGCCACAAGTGAGCGCCGCGCCAAGGTTCCTCCAACACACCCAGCCTCCTCTAGGGCAAGCGCCCCGCAAGGCTCTGGGGCCGGCCGGCGGGGAGCGGCGCTGCTTTGCGCACCGTTGCAACGTGCGAGCACCCCCGCACGCGCCAGGTCACATTGATTGGTCAAACGTGCGCCTATTGTCAGGACCAACACTGTGCTTTTTAGGTGTTCGGGAGCTCTGGGGTCGGCACTACTGAGTCATTAGGGGCCAAAACTCGGGTGCTGCATGCACTTGCTTGCCTTGAATCACGCGCGCGGTGGGGACTGCCGAGTGTCACGGGGAGCGTACCCGGGCGTTGGTTGCTTTGGGGGTGGGCAAGAAGGGGTCGGCACGGAGGATGACTGTACACCAGGGGCACGCGCGGCCGCACCCACGCGCGGGAGTATGGCTGGGGGCGGCGGCAAGGGGCTGGCCTGGTATGTTTTTTTCTGGCTGCTTGCGGGCCGACGGACCAACACATTCCTTTTGGCCCCCACTCAACCCGAGATGGTTGCATGCCCCCATGTCTGCATCCAAATCGCACTGCCTCACTGGTCCCACAATTGGACACTTGCACCCGCTGCACTGTGGGGCGAAGGGCCCGCCAGGGGTGCGTGGCGGAGGTGCGTCCGGCACACACAAGAACACTCACGAGCAAGCAAGACTGCTGACGGCAGCCGCGCCCGGCCGCCACCCACCGGTTCACCTCGCTGCAAGCGTGCTTGCCTGTCGCCACTGCCGCACCACGCCCACTAACAAACGTAATATGTTTCCCTTTTCGTGTAATTTCTTGGTGTTTCTGTCCCGCCCGTTCTTGATCCAAGCCCTTGGCCAGCTTGTCTAGTGGCAGCTTGATGTTTTGACCGTGTCTTAGAGAAGGCCAAGACCTCAATAGGTTGCCTGAAGATCGGTGCAGATGTGTCAGTGTCGTTGCGGCTAACCTCGACAAAGGCCGCTGTGTGTGAAGGCTGCCATGCAGCTCGTCTGCCGCAGCTGTTAGCAGGCGACTGCCGCCTCAAATCAGCAATGCTGGTCGCTCCATCACGATGGGCCGCACGTATGTCCACAACAACGAAGTTGTCGCCGACGTTCTCCTAACATACATATCTACCTTTACATGCAAGATAGAGACCAACAGCCACAAAGCGCACAATGTGCTACGCCCCCCGAAAACGGCCACATATGGCCAGCCCCGCTCAGCCCGCCGGGTCCTCAAAACCGCCCCGCTCCCACGGCCTAGCGTCCCTGGGGTCTTGCACCGCCACCTGCGGCCCATGCAGCTGCTGTCACGGCCGCCAGCCGCTCCACTGGGTGCGGTACCAGCCGTCTTTCAGAATTCGCCGCTTGTCGCGCTCCCGCCTGCCGGGATTAGCGGCGCGCGGGCCGGGGGCGCGCGGCGGCGGGCGGAGTGTCAGTGGGTCGGGCGGCAGGGGGTTGCCTCACGCGTGCACGGCGACGCCTGGACGGCGGGGTGCGCGCATGCCCACCATCTTGAAATAGGGCGCTTTGCGCCTCTCAAGGAGCCGGGCAAGGCGGCGCCGTGGGGCCGCGGCTTGGGGGTCCGGCCGGCCCTTGTCTTCCTATTCTAGCCATCCAGTTCGCTCGCACTAGCCGTTTGTGGTTCTGCCCCCACGCCCTCCTGCTCCCCTGCCCCCTTCTGGCGTCCCCCCTCCCACCCCCTGGCGCCACCGGCCCCACCTGGGCAGCCAATTCAGCTCCTCGTGCGTCCACCGCGGGTCAAAGTGCATCGAACGCTTGCCGCCCGCGTCCAGCCGCGCGAGCGCGTAGTCCACCGCCCCCTTCTCCTCGATCGTGCGCGTGCGCGCGTACACCGCCTTGAGCAGCGCGTCCCGCAGCCGCTGGCTCGCGTCCGGCCACGCGGCGCCGCCGACACCACCGCTGCTGCTGCTGCTGCTGCTGCTGCTGCCGCTGCTGCTGTCGCCGCCCTCCGGCGGCGAGATGAGCAAGGCGATGCCCAGCGCGAGCCGCGCCAAGTCGAACGCCTCGAAATCTGCAGAAAACTCCACCAGCTGGTACTCGCACTCCTCCAGCACCGCGGCCACCCACTTGGCGTCAATCCCCAGGGCGGGCCGCGAGTCGGGGGCGCGCGCGAGGTCGTGCATGGTGGCGTCGGCCGCGCCGCCGCCGCCGCCGCCGGCGCCCGGCGCCCCGGGGGACGCGAGCGCGCCGGCGGCGCAGGTAAGCCTCGCCAAGTCGGGCCCGAAGAAGTCCGGCAGGCGCGCGGAGGCGGCGGCGAGCAGCTGCCTGGTAGCTGCAGTGCGGTCTGCCTCCCCGGAATCGGCGAGAGAGGGGCCGTCTGGGCCGGGGACGGGAAGGAGCAGATTGCTCAGGCTCCAAATCACGTCGGTCAAGAGGGGGGACGGCAGCGCCCCGGCCGCGGCCGCGTCGGCCACGGGCCGCAGCAGCCGCGCCACCCACGCGCCGGGCGGGCAGACGCCGGCGGCGGACAGCCGCGCGAGCAGCTGGCAGGCGTCCGGCGCGGGCAGCGACGCAAGGCCGCGGCCGCCGTCGGCGGCGTCGGCGGCGGCGCACAGGCGGCGCATCCAGGACGCCGAGGGGGGCGCGGCGCTGTCCGCGGCCGCTTGCAGCAGAGCACCTAGCTCCTGCAACAAATCGACAAAGGGGCGCAGATGCGGCAGATACGGTTTGCAGGGGGTGGGCGTGTTATCAAGACGTGTGAAATGTTGGGGGAGACGCAGGTTGAAGTCTAGCCAAAAGAGCTCGACAATCACATCCGTCTCTGGGTGCGTGCGCCGCCGGGGAGCTGCAAGGGGCGGGCCTGCCGGCGCGTCGACGACTTGACACGCGCACATCACACCCAGGCTGAGCGCCTCCGGTCAGTGCACGGCGTGGCCGCGTCCCCCCAGCCCTGCAAGTTGCTGGTGGCGTGTCGCGCCTGCTGCTCCCTCAAAATATCTACGGCTCACCTCAGGGCCGACCGTGTCTGGAATGGGGTGCGCGCCATCAAACGAGGACTCCTGCGGAGCCTCCTCGCCGCTGCGGGTGTCCCATGACCACTCATACGCTGCCGCTGCCGCGGGCTCCCGGCTGCCGCCGCCGCCGCCGCCGCCGCTGCTGCTGCTGCTGCTGCTGCTGCCGCCGGCTGCGGAGGCCGGCGCAGTGCCTGGGGCCGCGCGTGCCTGTAGCGACCGAGCGCTGGGCCGCGGTGTTGGCACCGGTGTGCTGTGACATTGTCGCAGCGGCCTGCAGTCGAGGCGCGCGTGTTTGGGTGTTTAATAGCGGTGAGGACAGCGCCAGCACGAGCGGTGCGCGCTGCCACGCCGTCACACATGACGTCTGGTGCATGTGCCCCGCATGGACCTACAGCGTGCAGTGAGAAAGTAAGATAAACATATAAATTTATTAATGGCTTGTACCTCGCTGTGAGGGCAGGCCGCGGGCGCGCAGGTGTCAGGCCGCCTGCGAAGCCCATCATGGCGTCAGCTAGATCGACTAGGGGAAATTTGGCAGATAACTCCGACCGGTGCAGGTGCTCAGTGCGACTCTCAAGGACCGGCGGTCGGTGGTGCCGCGGCGAACATGTCACCTGGTGACATGTCGAGCGAGCCGGCGCTCAGCTCGTGCGCTCTTGCCCTCTGCAACAAAGCAGGCCATGCGGCGAGTGCCGTAGACGGTGGGCGCAGCAAACACAGCAAACACTGGAAGGACAGCCTTGATCAGGGTCTGAGAGCTGTCCATGCTCACGCCTGACAGCTCGGTTCAACCACGTCTCTACACCTGATGACAAAGGCAGTTTCATGATGCCCTGACCTGCTTCATGAACACGTTTTTGGTCTCCAACAGACTATGCACGGGGTATGGGGACAGAGTCAAAAGTGCGCAGTGACAGCAGCGGAGAGGCCTGCGAGGCTGGCATGGCAACTGCAGTGCAGTGCAGTGTGAAGCGGTTTTTGATCTTGAATGGGCAGCACCGCTGACATGCCAGGCCGTATTTGAGCCGGGGTGTGCGGTAACACCGCACGCAGCCAACAAGAATGGATCTGTTGCTCAAACTGCATCATTGCGAGAAGGCCTGTCGCCGACGGGCCGCCGGATTTGCTTTTGACAATCAGCCACAATGAGCATGCCGCCAGCGTTTTGTGCAATAGCGTTGATGTGCGCATTCCTTGACATTGCGACAGGTCACATTCACACAGCTCAGCCCAGATCGGCATGTCGCAGGATGAGGGGACAGCGGTGGTGGCGCAGGACGTTGCTGTGGATGAAGTAGAGTTGGGCTCTGCTCCATCCAAGAAGCAATTGCAAAAAAAGGAGGTGCGCCGGATCACACATCCTTCCCGCCATGGCGGTGCCTGCCGCGCTGAGGAGTTATTTCGTGTCCGAAATCAAGCTCGGGAAATGTCATCATTCTGAGAACTCCGATGGACATGGCTGTTGCCGCTCGACCTGACCCGGCCGCTGCACACATCAGCGGCCTCCTGTGACGTCCCACCTGGACGGTCCTCGCACACGGCCGCCCGCAGCGTGCACTGGCCGGCGCGCTGGCCGGGGAGCTGTCTGGCGAGCTGGCCCGCCTCGGCAGCGCCGTCCTCGACCAGAGCGGCGGCGGGACGCCCGCCCAGCGCGCATGGGCTAAGCAGAAGCGGCGCGACCTGCGGCAGCTGACCGCCAAGGTGGGCATGGATCCGATGCGGGGCGCTCAGTCCCAACTCTGAACTCTGAGCTCCTGGATGACGCCTTTTAAAGGATCCCGCCAGCTGCTCTGAGCCCTGTCGATGCCCGTCAAAACGACGCCGTGGCCGGCCCTCCAGGTGGCGGACCCGGGCGTACCCCTGGAGGAGCGCCTGCGCCTGCTGCAGCGCGCTCTCGCATCCGAGGTGGAGGCGCACATCGCGATGGAGCAGCGCGCGCTCGCCGCGGAGGCGCGGACGGCGGCCGCCAAGCAGCAGGCCGACGCGGACGTCGCAAAGGGTGCGGGCCCTTCGCCCTGCTGTGCATCCGCCCGCTGCTTGCGTCCATCGTCGCCCCTCCCTCGCTGTTCCAGGCTCGCTCCGGCCCCATGAACAAAAAGAGCAGGCCGCTCGCTCACTCGCCCATGCGCCCGTCATCGCGACCCATGCGCCCGCAGCCAACGCGTCCGCGGCCGACAGCCGGGAGCTGACGCTCAAGCTGGAGCGCCTGTGCCGGCAGATGCAGGAGCAGCTGCGGGTCGCCAACGAGGCGTCGGGGGGCTGGCAAAAGCGCTACCAGCTCATGGAGCGGCAGGTCGACGCGCTCAAGGAGATCACATCGGTGAGCGGCTGTTTATAGAGTGGCAGTTTGAACTTGCATGGTTCCAGGAGCATGCTGACCTGCTTCAACAGAGGCAGTGTTGGTAAGAGGACACATGAGAGGGAACGCCTGGCGACGTGTGCACTGCAGCGGGGAGGGATTGGTTCGCTGCATTGAAGGCCATGGCATTTTCTGGAATATTCACGAGTCATGGGCAGAGTGGCCCGTTCCGGAGCCTAGCAGGGGGCGGGTGCGTGCGTGCGCTGTGAACGTGGGCGCCGCCACGCGAGTGCACAGAGCGTTGCTTGTATGCGGTAAGGGCTGTCACTTGTGAAAGGCGCTTTGTCTCCCTGCCTGCAAGTAGAGCATGTGACCTCGGCAGAGTTGGACCTCTTCGTCTTGTTCAATTTGGGTCAATCATGGTCAAAGGCGGTCAACACATGGCCATCGCAGGTGTCGAAGCAGCAGCACGAGGCGCTCGAGACGCGCAACGCCGTCCTGGAGAAGGTGCGGCGCCGCACAGACGCGCCAGCGCCCGCAACGCGCCGGCCCCGCCTTGCACCTGCAGCCACGCGCACGTTGCTGTGGCATGGCGCCAATGACACATTTGCGTGTGCCGCTTGCAGGCCAACGAGTCTCTGCGGCAGCAGGCAGAGGACCTGGCGGAGCGCATGGGCAAGCACCAGCAGCACCTCAGCGCCTTTGAGGACATAAAGGCCCAAATCCAGGAGCACGTGGGTGGCTTATGCACATTGCGCGCGGTGCCGCCATCGCGGTGGGGGCGGGGGGCAGCTGGGCGCCAGTTGCGGCGGCTCATTCGGCTGCCTCGCGGATCACAGGGCAGCTCGGGCGGCAGGGCTGACGGGTCCCCACCGCGCGTGGCAGGCACGGACGACGCCATACCTGCCCTTTCTCTATTTGAGCAGGCTCGTCTGGCCTTTGCCAGCACCTGCGGGGTGCAGCAGTCATCACCCTCACCTTCAACCCCGGCCAAGCGACGCGGTCGCGCCCCTGCCCTTCAACCCATCCCAGCGCCGCCCCATTGCACTCTAACCACTCCCGCCACCCTCCCCAACCGACCCCACCCCAGGGCAAGATGTTTGAGACCTTTGACAGCATGAAGGACCTGCTCAAGCGCCAGTCTGACGAGCACACCCTGCTCACAACGCACCTGGAGTCCAAGCAGCAGGAGGTACACGCCCCCGCACCCGGCCCGCCCCGCGCTCAGCGCCCGGCTCGTGCACGCGGCACGCGCGCCACCCCGCACGCTGCCTGCTTCGCCCACACCCCGCGCCTCTGCTTCGGGCGGCGGGCCTGCCAGTCAAGCGTGGCCGCTCCAAGTACGGCGAACGGGCGTTGCATATTGGCATCGCACGAGCCGCGGGTTTTGACAGCTTTGATCGGTCGTCCGGCGGTTTGACCGGCGACTTTGACCGGCGCGAGCGGCGCGTCCTCACTCATCCCCTCGCGTCGCGGCCCCCAGGTCTCGGAGCTGCGGGACGCACTCGAGAAGGCAAAGCAGGTGCGGCTCTGGCGCGCGCCAACGCACTCCTGGGCCACTGCCCGCACGGCACCCGGCCGTCTCGCCGCGCTCGACTTAACACACCGCATGCCGGCCGCCAGAAAAGTTTAAACTCGCTGTGTCCACCACGCCCAGGTCATTGAGCTACAGGATGCGACCAACAAGCAGGCCAGGGCGGAGTATGATCGGCAGGCCAAGGAGTACACCCAGTCGGTCAAAAATGCCAAAAAGGTGAGTCTTACCCCGACCCGGCCGCCGTACCGAAACGCGGGCGCGGCACCGGTGCGTGGCGGACTGCGGTGCACTGGGCCGATGCGTGGTGCGGCGGCACAGTTTGACCGGACCCTCCCCCGCATCGCCATGATGCTGCGGAACGTGCGCACACCCTCCCCTCCCATAACCCTAGCAAATCCATCATTCCTGCAGGGCACTCCGCGTGAGGCACTCAGCGCGCACCCCCACCCTGCACCCCCTAGCCAATATCCTGCCCCCTAAACACCCGTGCACCTCCCCTCTCATCCCTCAAAAGCTCATCGATGACCTCAGCAAGTCCCAGGAGGTGCTCCCGGCCCTGGTCAAGCAGAACAAGGAGCTGAAGGCGTCCCTGGCCGCGGCCGCCGCGGAGGCCGAGGCGCTGCGCGGCGCCGCGCGGCGCGCGGAGGCGCAGAGGGACCGGCTGGAGGGGCTGTGCCGCGCGCTGCGGGTGGGGC